TGTAAAGTGCGGCTCTGGTTGTAAAGACACCTACGCGTTCCTCCCCCCCGGCTCGCGCCACTCGTTCGCGCGCAAACAGGAATTGCGTCCGAAGGTCGATGGCCATTCTGAACGGGATGCGGAGAAGACCCGTGCGCATAGCTACCGCACCCCCCCTTGAACGCGCGCGGGCCCGTCCTCTGGAAGTCCGTCGGTCGCTGAATGTGCGGCGACGTCACCAAAAAGCTGACCGTTTCGCGCGTTTGCTTGCAGGCGGTCCTGACTGGAATGTCCACGGGTTGGTCCTCCATGATCTCCTCGAGACCCCGTTCTGCGAGTCGTCGGCAGGAGCCGCGGCCCCCTCGCCATTGGCGAATAGCACCTGTGGGAAGCGGGTAATCGGCCAGTGGGATAGGCCTCAGCTTCCCTTCCCTGCGGCAGGCGGACACCATCGTAGGTAATGGGTTTCGGAATCGATTTGCGGGGGAAGTTCTCCCCTGGCGATATGGATTCCGCGCCCCGCTCGCCGTCCAGGAGGCCGATGGAAACGCCAAATTGTCCAGCGATTGGTCGCGGCATCTGCTCGCCGCGCTTGCACCGGCGGCCTTCGGGGTGTCTGGGCGGCACTCATGGTCATAGGAAATATTCCAACTGCGATTTGGATGAGGGCATTGGCGTTTCTCCCCGAAATCATCGGCAGAAACAGCCCCAAGGACGTTCACGCTTAAGCCGTGACGTTCGCCCTTCTTCTTTCGTACATCATCCACTGAAAAAAGGAAAAGCGTAGTTTCCCCATCTGGTGGCATCGCTTTCGTCGATGATAGAACTTTCGGCTGGTAACCAATGCTTGGCCAAATCTCCGTCATGGGGAAACTTTCGCAACCCGATGAAACGGCAACACGAACTGTTGCTATTCATGGTGGTTTCCTTCTTGTAATAGTTTCGTGCTCAGCTCCAAGCGATGCATGGGAAACGTACTCCTTGTAGCCATGGCTTAGTATGGTGCTGTGCCGGTAAGCTATGGCTAAGATCATAAGGGGGACGGCCCTTTCCTGCTGGCCGGGCGCGCGCGCGGCGGGTGGAACAGTCCTTTCCTGCGACCGAGACCAACACGGCTTCGGTAAATGTCAGCAAGTGAGTCTGAGGCAAAGCCAAAGTGAGACTAAACCAATGTTTGCTTCCCTTTCTCCTCATAGTTCTCCTCTTCCTCCTCTTTTCCGCATCATCATCCATCGCCTCCCCGCTTCCTCCCCCTTATCATCCCGTTCCCAATTCCTCCTCGTTCTCCCACCTCCCCTCCTCCCTTGTCTTCCCACCGTCTCATTCGCCTACTTCTCCTCCTCCTCCTGAAATAAAAAATGAGAGGACAGAGGCGGCCCAGCAAGCAGCAGCAGGCGGCGAAGAAACCCTGAAAGAATCGCGCACGAACCCGGATCGGGCAGAGGCAGGTGTTGCACACGAGGCACGACACGACACGACTGCAAGTTCTGCCACAGCGTGCCCGAGCTGGCGCAGCTGGCGATGAGGCGGGAGGGACGGACGCGCGGCGGGGAGTTGTGCGCCACCAAACCCACCCCCTTTAAGCCGTAGGCGTTCATCCTCCTCGTTTTTGTTTTCCTCCTTCCCCCCTTCCGCTTCGCCCCCCCTCCCTCAAAGACTGGTGACATCTGCGAACGGTGGCATATGTCCTTCGACGTGCTCTCGGCGCAGACCATAGCATCAGCCTAATCCTGCTGCTAAACGCTCCTCTTGCTCCTGCTCACGCTCCTCCTCCTCCTCCTCCTCCTCCTCCTGCTCCTCCTCCTCCTGCTCCTCCTCCTCCTCCCCGCTCCCACTCAAGGCATGTGCCTGCAGTCCATCACGGTAGGGACTGGCGGGATGACCAAGTTGGGCTTTGTTGGAGCGAAGTGCCACAGCGATCAGCAGGAGAGTTGAGCCTGGTCAAATGGTGACTTCTTTGCGAAGTCTCAGGCGCAGCGGGGGTGAAAACTCGACTTCCTCACGTATGGTTCTGCCGCACAACAGCAGACCAGTGCAAAGGTGAGAATTCATGAGCGTTCGTCGTAAAGGTCTGGGCTGAGGCCCTACTATGCAACTTCAGACACTGACCCTGGCCAAATCGAGCTCCACCCGTTCCCTTCTGTACCAGGTGCCGGGGTCAGGCTTTCGAAATTCTGACTCCAAACGCCAACCCGCGGCTTGGATCCCCGCTCGTGGGAGACCGGCCGAAAGCTCTTCTTCGGCCCGCTCTAGAGGCCTCCAAGATGGGGTCCGAGTAGATTGGGTCGGAGGATCGCGCTGCATCGCCGTTTCATCGGCGATGTATCGGCGACCTCGGCGATGCATCGGCGCCGTCAACGTGGAGAAAATCGGGTTCCACGTAGAGCTGCATCGCCGATGCATCCGCAATGCATCACAGATGCGGCGCGATCCTCCGACTCCATCTACTCCGACCCCATCTGGGAAGCCAAGACTGCCTAGACTCTGTGTCTCTCTCTCTCTCTCTGCGCCCTGCCCCCTCCGCAATGGGCATGATGGAGCTGCCTTGGTCGCGGATCCCCGCCCGCACGATCGGGCGGCCACGATCGAACTCACAGCCAACGTCGGCCAGCGCCATCCGGGAGACGACCGGGCGTCGGGAACACCACTGGCGCTCAGGCCATACACGGGGTCGGTCGGGAACTTTTACTTGGCGTGTCGCGGCGGCGGCCCGGGAAATTGACGTTGACGCTGACGCTTGGGGACCAGGAAATGGATAGTGTGGCGCGCCGAAGCGTGGTGGGCCAGGACCTGCGGAACGACACGCTGTCCAGGAGTTCCCGGACGTAAGAGCTATGCATAGAGGCCCGAATTCGCTGGCAATAGCCCGCCCCGACCGTCAGTCCACGGCATCGGCCACCCTGGCGGCAACCTCCCGTAGAAGGGTTGCACGCTGACAACAGCAATAGACACGCGATTTCCACTACTCGCAAATGTAACTACTCGCAAATGCCACTGGATTCGCCGCGGGGGATTTACGACCCACTGCATCGAGGCAAACATGTGTTCTTTTCCGGACGTTTGCGAGTAGGCACTCTGCGAGAGGTGGAACGCGCTCGGTGAACCAAAGTCAGGGATCGCCTACATCAGGGGAGGCGAGCCCGTCGATGCTGGTAGCAACATTTAGGAGTGCCAGGTATCACCACCACCCAGATTTGAGGTCGTCTTCTCGGAGATCCAGATAAGCGCCGCGCTTCTCCGCACCACGTGCAGCCCTGGCATCTTCGGCGAGGCGACCACGTCAGACGCGCTCGCGGAGAAGCCATCGTACTCGTCCTGCGGCCCCGCCCTTCGTTGCTGGCTCCCCGTGATGCACGGGGTTCGTCAGAGGTTTCCCGGAGGGCGCAGTGTCAGAGAATGCGCGAGCCACCGCTGTGGCCGCAGCGGGGTGAACGATGCGTGCGCCTAATTGAAGAATGAAAATCGATGAGCGTAGTTTGGTTTCGCCTATGAGGCACGAAGAATGCGAGGGTGACGAACGAGGCAGGGTGAGAGAGTTAGCGCACCGACAATGGGGCCATAGCTGGGGTTCGCCATTGCGCACGAAGGGGGCGATGGGTGTGCAGAATGGGGCGGGGAGAAAACTTGGACGCACCAACGGTGGAACCGTAGCTGGAGCTCCATGTGGGGTAAGAAGCGCGCGAAAGGGATGGTGCGCCGAGCCGAGCAGAGTGAACGAACGCGCGATCCTCCGCTGGGGCCGTACGTACGAATTTCCGCACTCGTGCACTGGCGCCGGGACTGCGCATTCTGCCATACCACCCGTCGCTGCTCGGCCGCCACCTCTTCCATGGTAAACTATTTTCCTTTCGGGTGGCGATGCTGCGATGCAAATTGTGCGGACGGTCTCTTCTGAAATGGCCCAGACAGCAAGTAGTTTCTGGCAAGGTTACGCTTGCGATCCAACACTCAGCTCAGCACAGCTGCTGGACGAGTTCCCGGCGGCCCTGGGTGTTCTAGAAAGCATTCTGGGTGACGACAAGGGCTGGAACCCCTTCATGGATGTGAACTTACAGCAAAAACAAATGGATAGTTCGAGGCTGCTGTTAGGGCAAGTTTGCTGAGCAGTCCAGAAGAAGGTCAACAGAGGAAAACCCACGTGCCAGGACTTCCCACTGGTGAGTCAATCCACAAACTGGACCTGGACCGTACGTGGAGGAGGCATGCAATCTCATTCCGTCGTAACGCTTCTCTTAAACAGAGCGCCTACCGGAGCCCCGCGGAACCCATACTCCAAGCAACTACGAGAAACCGCTCGAGCGATTCGCTCCAGACCGTTGCAATTCAAACCCGAACACGCGTACGCATGCACTAGCATACCCTCCTCGCCCTCCTCTGCCCCCTCAATTCCAAGGGATGGACACAGAGAGGGACAATGATAAATGATAACAACCCTGCCCCGCCGGATGCAGGGTGTCCATGTGCAGGCTTGCCCAATCGTCAAACCTGGCAGCTAGAACAGACAGCGAAGTTGAAAGGTATCCGAACATGCGCAAATACTATTCACTGCCCACTCCGTGCCACGAGGTAAGAGTGGAGGGATGGCAACAGACAGCCTGCCAACAATCGCCCTTGCCATAAGTGCCTGCATTTGAGTAGAACCCTCGGACAACGTGTGCTGCCGCCCGAGTCGGAACGACGGTTGTCCGCTGGCGCAGACCCACGTCATGTCAGAGGTGGATTGGCCACTTCTCGTCGGCGAGCCCAGGAGGAAGTGAGTGAGGGCAGGCCTCCTGAGAAGGCGGCGGGGCTTCTCAGAACCTCTCGTGCCTTCTAAGAAGCCGTCAGCGTCTGCGCAACAGCCTTGAAAGCTCCTCAGCGGGCGCGAGGGCCTTTTTGGAAGCCCCGCCACCCTCTGAGAAGACATGCCCCTCTCACACCCCCTCTGGGCTCGCCGCCGAACTTCGGGGCGACAACGATCGCTACGCTAGGCATGCCCGCGGCGCCTGGTCGAGCAGAGGCTCGGGTGGAAGCTCGGACGGAAGCTCAGGGAAGCCGCGGGGGTCCAGGACCCGCCGAGGGTCCGAGAAGGCAGCGATGTGCCCAAGGTGAACAGGAAACGTAAATGCGCCAAAGCACGGCGCGAACGGCGGGCTGTTTAATTTGGAGCGTCCGGCACCGGAGCAATTCTTTACTCCTGCCCGCGTACGCGAGATCCTCGGTTATCAGTTCGATGAGGCGCGCACGACATGTAAGGATACGCGGGGAGGGGGACGCAAGCGTTCGTTCATTACACCTGCAATATTTGCGTTCGATGTGCAGAACAGGCTGGTCATGTACAGGGACTCGTGCTCTTCGTCAGGGTTGTCATAATTGTTCCTCGCTTGCGTTCTCTGTTTGGTCCCGACTGTGAGCGCAGGCGGGTAGGACCTGGATGAGCACGGGGCTCATGGTATCGGGGTAGCGCGACGGAGCGCCAAACATATAAAAGCAATAACAACACACGGGGTATGACAGCTAAACCCGCAGCTCGTGTGCATACTGACCTGGCACGTGCGCGCATCATTACGCATGGTGCTGTGAATTTCGCGCGCCTGGTGCCAACATACAACGGGAATCAAACGATCGGCGGAGATAACATCCTGCTCTCAACTGTCGTCGTGGTGGCCACCTCCGTGGAACAACTGGTTCCCGGCGAGCCGTCACCCGCCATACTCGTCGATTGCGTGCTGTTGGTCCGGCGCGCGCCGTCGAGGCCGCGACTTACCGTATTGAGCAGGGACCGACCGTCCCGGTATTCCTATCAGCCTACCACGAAATGTTCTTAGAACCCAAGAATGTTCCAAACCAATGTTCTTATAACATAGGTCCGATGTGTTAAAACAGGGCGGACCCAGCCAGAAATGTTCTAAGAACATTTCGTGCAAACCACAAAAAGGGTTCTTAGAACATTATTTGGTGGGCCTATAGGCGAGCCAGGACGCTTCGCCACTGCTTGATCGTACTCACTACCTGCTGGAACGCCATGCTCGTGACGCTGGCCTTTACGAATTTGATCTCCCCCTCGTCACCACGGCTCATGCGGTGCCTGCCAGAAACCACGCTGTGCGACCCTGACCTACTAGTTCAGCCCGCGCTGTAAACATGTCTGGACGGGGGGCAAGATCATTGACTGAACCCTCGCCGGGCTGCCAAGCGTTGAACATCGAGCGAGGCCAACGCATAGCAGCGCATCGTGCTGCCTCGACTCAAACTGCACGCTCGTCGCTCGTGAAGTTGCTGCACCTGGAACTGGCGGTCTGCTGCTTTGCTGACCGCTGCGCGCCATTATTTTGCAAACCCCGCCACAACTCCAAGCCGTCGCCGCGCAATTGCACCGCATTCTCGGTCAACAGCACCTTGGGACCGCGGAGCCGCCTGCCTGCTGCACTCTGGGCGCAGGGTGACCTACTGCCTGTCATCGTGCTCGAGTCCAACGCTTCAAATCCTTCCTGGAAGCCTGCACGGTATCAACTTCCCCCTGACTCGAGGCTCTGGGCAACCCAGCGATGGACGCGCGATCGTTCTGGTCAGGGGACGTGGTCGTGGAGGCCAAAGTGGGGAGCTGCAGCTTCGCGCCACAACTGTTGCCGCTCCTGCTGCTACCCCTGCCTCGCTGCTGGTCCTACGCACCCGCGGAAGACCAGGCAGAACGGCTGCTCTCCACCAGGCCGATGCCAAGACGTATCTGCCATGCTAATATCCGTCGTGCCGCCGCTCGTGGCCAGCACTCCGGTGCCCGCCCGCCATGCTGCCACCTGGCGCGCTAGTCGCGAGGCGCCCGGCACGCCGCTCGCCACTTCGCGGAGGTCAAGCTGCGGCTTTGCGTCGTGCTGCATCTCGCGCCCGTGCTCAAGCCATCTGCTGCGACGCCAATCCCAGTAGCTGCTCATCTTCGCCGTGCCACTGATGGCAATTGTCTGTCGTGCTGGATCATATCATGATGCCACTGGTAACTGCCCAACCGTGCCGTGCTCGCACCCGTAATGCCTCTGATGTCGCACGACCAGGCTAGCGCGAACAGCCTGGCACGCCCAACAGCAAAAGACTAAAGCTGCTGCTCGCCGTCGTGTTGTAGATGATGTCTGTCCTTCTACCTGCCGCACTGTCTGGACCCAGACACGGAAGTCCGACCAGAGCAGCTGCCCACCGACTGTCATGCCAGTACCCACCAGGCGTTTACTGGTGCCTGGCGTGCTGGTACCAATCATTCTGCTCGGCATCGTAGCTGTCAATATGTCGCGAGTCACCCCAACAAACCCGTGGAGATCAAGAATGTGAAACCGACGTTGTCCGTCGTGCAGCACTGGCCCCGTCCTGTTGCCACCTCCCATGCTGCTGGTTCTCTGCAATGCGGCTACTGGCACCTGTAGGCCACGGTGCTCCTGGCTTGACGGTGCATGCCATGCTGGTCGACTCCGTGGCTGTCGCCCCCCCCCCCAAGGTCAAGGTGGAGTTGCTGCAATGCGTGCTGCTGTGTACAGTCTGAGCTGCGTCTACGTCGACGCACACATAATGCAACGCGCATAAGATCAAGGGCTCATCATGCAGCAAATCCTGCACGGCAAGATATACATGACGTTTGGTGCACAACTATTGGCACAACCGCTTACTGCGGTAAGATACGTCATGCGTGGTGAACTGCGCTTTGAATATCGCGTGCATGCAATTCGCGCCGTCAAGTAGAGACGGATACAAACGCTGCAACGAACATGGCGCACTATGCGAACTCACTCGCCGTACACCGCGTGTCCGTGTTCGATCCCATCCTCATACGTGGGTTGTTGTCTTCTCTGCACGTCCCCGAGCAGGAACCTCACTCATCCACCCCTTTCACACTCATCATCTTCATCATGACCGCATCACTCGTCATTATCATCATCATCGTTCTTTCGTTCGGACTGCCGCTGGGCCTACCAAGCGCGTGAGAAGGGTGTTCTGAAGTTGCTGGCATGGCACCACGACGAGCTCATAGCGACCCCAGGGGGCCTTCGACTGGATCTAGTGACATGTCTGTGCCTTCACAACTGCTCAACGAGGTTGTATCCCCTGGCTGGGAATACGGAATGTGATGGGAATGATCGACCGCATCATCATCACGGCCCGTGATCATCATTCATACACTCGTCATTTCAGCTCGCGCACTCAGTCATGCAATCATACAGTCATCACTAAACACACATGAAGGTCTCGAAAAGGAACCTCATCTGTAGCTGACTTGTGAGGGAGTCTCAAGCGAGAGCCCCTCTTTAGAGGCTCACCAGAACATGTTACTAATCCGAAAGGGGGCATTCGAAACCTCTAGCTATCGAGATGGTAGCGCTCCTGCGGACTGACTTATCGAAGACAATGTCGAGCGATAGCCTCATGTGCGAGCGCATTGCGAGGAAATCTCGAGCGGAGGCCCAACCCCCTTGGTCTCCCATGCTACCACCCAAGCGGGGTCGTCAAAAACCTGCAACCGCCGTTAAGTGTTGGATCCTGGAGATCGGCGTTGGTAAAAGTATCGAGCGGGATCCTCATTTGTGAGCGCATTGCGAGGAAGTCTCACGCGGAAACCCTCTCCCTGTAGGCCGTCCCCAGATCATGTTACCGATCCGAGGGGGTCATCCAACAGGGTCATCCAACACTTGTAGTAGTTAGTCGTCGCGCCACTGAGGACTGCATCTGAAAGAAATCCCACCAGCCCTCTGGGCGTCGGTGGTTTAGGGCGTTTCCTCTTCCACCCCTCCCTCTTCCCCTTCGGGGAGGGGTTTACCCCTCCCCCTACCCCCTCCCCACTGACCTGGACAGGAGGGGCGGGGAGCGGTCAGAGCGTCCAAAACAGCCTCGGCGAGGAAGCCAAAATCATTGATTTTAGCACGGTTTTGGCCCCATGTTGGCCTCCTGGGGGGGCAACGCTAATTAAAGCTCAGCTCTTCTTTGATAGATCTCCTCCAAGATGGCACAAAGAAGCGCCCAGGAGGCTCCAAGAGGTCCCAAGATGGCCCCAAGATGGCCCCAAGAGGCCCCCAAGAGGCCCCCAGAAGGCCCCCAAGAAGACCCTCAGAGGCCCCAAGAGGCCCCCCCCGAGGCACCCAAGACCCCGAAGAGCCCCCCAGGATCGCCAAGAGACCCCCAAGACGTCCCAAGAGGCCCCCAAGAATCGCCCAAGAGATACTCCAAGAGGCTCCTAGAGGCATCCAAGAGACCTCTGGCCCGTGTGCTTGCCCTCCTCCTCCTCCTCCTCCTCCTGTTCCTCCTTCCTGCTCCTACTCCTTCTCTTCCTCCTCCTCCTCCTCCTCCTCCTCCTCCGCCTCCTCCTCATCCTATTCATCCTCCGTCTTCCCACTCCCGCATCCATCCATCCATCCACCTCCTCCTTCTCCTCCTCACTCCTTTGCACGGTTCGGCCGTCCTCCTCTTTGCTGCCGCACTTCCCTGATCACCTCAACTCGCCTGGACATCGTTTCGGGATGGGCTGGTGGGGATAAGCGAAGCGTCTAGAATTTCGAACGCGACTTTCATGTGTAATTACATTGCGAGGATGTCTCGAGCGGGAGCCCTCTCGCCAAGGGCCCGTTAGATCATGTTACCGACCCGAGGGGGTCATCCCAAACCTGCAACCGTCGTCACCCATGGGACCCTGAGGAAAGAATCTGGAGGAAATCTCTAATTGGAACCTCGTATGTTAATGGTGGTGGGCGATACAACAACTACACCACCTCTGCCCCGGGGGGTCGCCTTCGTATTGTGTAGGATATACAAACAATCTCTGGGGGGCGAAAGTGTGGTTTAAATCGTCCTCTCCTCGCAAGCGGAGGAGTAGGAAGGAGAAGGGGTTGAGTCCACCGGGTGGAGGAAGGGGAGCAGAGGGACCGGCGAAAACCCAAGACTCATCCACGAGATTGGAATACACCTTCCCTCAAGTTCCCTTCGCATGAGCCCCTGTAAAGGTTCATTTTCAGTGAGGGAAGTGCCCCATTGGAAAACAACCGTTTGAAAGTCCAGAACTGTGCCAGAATATCACTCCGGGAACTTGGGCGCCGCGAGCCACCGGTCTTGACGTCCCTGAATCTTGCCCGAACACCGTTCCTGGGACTTCAACACCGCGAATCAACGTGACCGTTGCGCCCTGCCATCCCGACATCGTTCCATAACATACCTTCTGGTACGTTAACCATGAGAACCCTTCGAACTGCTGCAAACTCTTAAGACGGATGCGCGCAACGCTAAGACAAAGGGGCCACCCTCCATCCGCGAAGCTCTTCCAAACTTTAGAATCTAACGTGCACGGCGCTACGGCGAGAATCACATTTTGAAAACGGGCCGCCCTCCATCCGTGAAGCTGTTGCAAACTTGAACTTCAGGAGAACAAATACTGAGGAGGTCTCAGGCGACATGCCTGTCCCGCCTTTTCGACTGGCCTCGGGGTGCGACAGGGAGTGGGGAGGGGCAGCGAGCGACGGAGCACCTCCTGGCCTCCCCTGGCCTTCGGACTGCCAGCCCTAGGGCCTCCCTTGGCCTCCCAGACGCCCCCTCTGCCGACCCGAACGGTCCGCCCTCTGTGAGCCGAGGTCCTTGGCTCGGTAGATGGGGGCCACGGGGCCGGCGAAACTATTTGTCTGATCGTCCCCCAAGAAAAAATCGGTCCGTCATCGTCTCCCACCATTATTGGACTAAAAGCGAAGGGTCTCCTTAACGGCAAGGGGATCTCGAGCCGGAGCCCCTTCCTGCAGGGCTCCCCCGATCAGGTCACCAATCCCGCGGGGCAATCCGAACCCCGTAACTGTCGTTAGGCTTCGGCTTGTGTGAACTGACTTTGGAGAACGTCTCGAGAGGGAGCCCCCTATTGGGCCCCCTGATCATGTTACAAATTCAACACACTCATCCGAAACCTGTAACACTTGTCACTTCTGAGCTGTTGTCACGTTGGGGCTCTCGAAGCTTGTATTTTGAGAAGTCTGGAGCGGGAACCTCCCGAATCATAGGAGGAGCTAGCCGGAGGACGAGGCAAATGCGAAGACGTAGGAGAAGAAAGATGCGTACGTAAGGGCCGGGGGACAACCGAGGACTAGGGATAACTGGGAGGAAAAGTGCAGAGAGCCAAAGCAGGGACGCCCGCGAACGAGCAAGCACACGAAAGGTGCGCACGCGCAAACACGTCCAATAAACATGCACATGTTTTGGAGGCGGCCCCGGGTCTGAGCTGCTTGGACCCCGAGAGAGTCGGTCAAGAAAGGGGGATACGGTCAAATCCGATCAAAATCGACCCCCGGATCCCTCCCGGGTTTCAACTGCTGCTGATATTCACCTCTGATCCGTCTTTGGCGGTCCCCGGACCCGAAAACGGCCTCCAGATACCAAACCATACAAAATACCTTCTCGAACCCAGATCCTCGAACCCCCGCCCCGCCCTTCCTGATGGCCAGAACTAGTGCTGGGCAACCTCAGACCCCCAGACGGCTCCAACACGCGCTGTGTCCACGCGCGCATAGCACGAAGGATGAAAGTACGAGAGGCGCACCGACCTCCTGCATGGACAGAAGCGCCGTGATGTATCGGAGGGCGTCGCAGAACACCGGCTCGCGTCGGAGGCCGACAGCTCGGGACATGCCTTCCACTGCAAATGCTGGCGACAAACAAGACAACGAGCTCTCGAAAGAAGAGAAGGACACATGATACTTCTCACGAATCTGAATAAAAAACGAACTAAAAAATGCGTTCCGAGTTCGGTTTGATTTCCTTTGCCCTCGTTATGTTTTCTTTCCGCCTTTGCTGCAAAACGGAAACGGTCCTCGAAATCGCCCAAACACCGCTTAGAACGCGCTCTGAGTCAAGCACTCATCTGCAGACCCCCACCAGGTCGGGACACTCGGGGCGCAAGCGTGTGATCGGCCTCTGGCTCGCGCCTTTGGCTCTGATGGGGCGCTCGCTGTCACATGCGGGGGCTTCGCAAGTCCCATCGACTCATGCCCCTCACTCTTCTATCCCCACTGCTTCCAACCTCCTCCTCCTCCTCCTCCTCCTTTACCTACCTTCTTCCCCTAAGGATCCTCGGCGATCCATCGAAAGGCCACCTGAGGTGGCAGCGCCACATCTGGCGATCGCGTCCTTGGACCCCCGCAAGATGGACGACACCGAAACATGATGCCGAGGGTGGCGCAAAGCTCGGTAGGGGATCCGGGATACCCGTTGAGGGGGAATGGTCCCCCCCATCATCCACAAGACACTTATTATCGTCGCCAGGCTGGGGGGGGAGAAGCATGGCGAAGGATGGGATTGATGCGCAGCGTCGAACCACCCCGATCCGTTCCGTTTCCACACTGGGAAACGGGGCTTGTGATGCGGCGCGGAGGGTAGGCGGGTGGGTGGAGGAGGAGAGCGCAAGGGGAAGGGGAGGGAGGAAAGCCACCCGAGGCGGGGAGAGGGAAGGCCCCCAGAGCGGGAGGTGGCCTAGGAGAGTGGCAGCAGAAGCGAAAGGAGCAATTAGCCACCGACCAAACATTGGGGCGGGATACCGCACCTATCGCATGCGCGCGAATCACTGGGTTGCGGTGAAAGAAGCCGCGGGAAGCTGGGGACTTGAGCGAGTGCACTGCGCATCCACATGTTCTCAAAAGACCAAACGCCGCTCGATTAGCCGGAAAACAACACGCCAAGCATCGGCAAACGGCAAAACGAAAGGTCAAAGATGATCTTGTATGTCAGACTGCGTGCACACGTGCCGATACTACCAAAGTTATCGCATGGAAAAAAACGACAAACTCAATGACCAAAGCACACGCCCACTGCTGCACATCGCCGCTGCCCCGTGTGGCCTTCCAGCCGCAGTGGCCGTGGTCGTAGCTAGGGTCGTAGCAAGCGCCGCCTGCAACCCGAATAGCCCCGGCCAGGGAGCCCATGACCATAGGATTTAGCAACAAGAGCCATGGCCTGGACCAAGAGATGTTACACTAAATCTCTCTCTGCAAGGCTTCCCACGTTCGTTCAAAGTGAACGCCAATTAACACACTGCAGCCAATGCAAGGTTCGCTGTGGCAGCCCGAATGCCCCTGGTGACCCCGCGGTGGTACATGTCTTGAACCGGCCTGCTAAGCGCTAATTTCGTTTAAGCGAGTGCATCATGATGTGGTGGATCGGGTGCCACAGCGGCAGCAAAGCGGCCTCCTCGAAAAGCGCATTCAACAAACCTCGCGAGACGTGTCGGCCCTGGCGGGCTCGAGAGGGTCCCATGGTCCTATGGTCCCGTTTCCCATCTGGCAAAATTCTGCATGATTGTCAATGCCACCTGCTGCACCTGTGGTCACGAATGTCGCCCGAGCTGGCTCCTCAACAACAAATGCGTGCTGCGCTGCTACCTGCCCTGCTGCCGAGATTCGCGTAGAATGGTGTTCACAACCAGTGAGGGGAATTGACTCAGTAGGGGCACTACGTCAACCCGCTTTGGGAAAGCGTCCTGGCTAGAACTACTCCATTGTGTCGCGCAGCGCTGAGACCGAACGAGAAGAGGAGGCAGACGAGGACGAAGTGGCGAGTGAGAAACAGAAGGGTAAGGGAGAGAAAGCGAATGCGAAGGAGACGCAGGAGGAGCAAACGGGGCTAGATGAATAAGATCAAGCCGAAGCTGGCGAAACCATCACGCATCGTCATGCGAAAATGCTTGACGCGAAGCCACTCGCCTTCTTTCACACATGCCCTACAATGGCCTGGGTACAAAAACCTGACACGGACAGACAACTTTAAATGCGGCCGAGATCCCTGGACTCAGGCGCTCATGAAAGCAAAGCAAACAACATAACATAATCAGATCGAAAGTCTCCCTGAGTACGAGAAGCGAAACAGCATGGATCTAAGTGGCTAATGCAAGCGACTTCCAACTAAAAGGGATCTCTGTAGGTGAGGTGACGCTCAAGCCTGGAGACTGACCCCAATGGATGCTCTCTCCAGTGGGCGCGTCTCATGGCACCACCCCGTTTACAATGCCCTCAGAGCTGGACAACTGCGCAAGTCCCCGGCGACCTGCACCCTTCCTCCGACGCGCAACGGGTTCGCACGAGCATAGGGGACACAGATCCTGCCCTTGTCGAACGCACTACCCCTCAGAGCCAACAAGTCACTGCCCTCAGAAGGGGCGGCGAAAGAGACCACCCTTGCACGGAGGAGGAGGAGGAGGAGGAGGAGGAGGAGGAGGAAGAGGAAGATGCGAAATACCGCAACACTCCTAGCTCAACTCAAGAGTCACCCGGTAACGGCTTCGGTGTTGGCTGTGTCGATGGACATGGCACTGACGGCGCGGTCTGACTGGTAATCTACCAATGAGAGCGGCAACGGAGAATTGTGGCGATCCTTGAGCCAATGGTTACGGATCGGATGTCGCCTGCCTCTTCTGCTGCACTGCATGGCTCTCACCCGCTCCCAACCGATGAGTCTCCCAAGAATGGTGATCGTCGTTACCTGGGGGGGGAGCGCTTGAGCGAAATTAACGCGTCGGTGCGGTGGTGCGATCTTCACAGTGTGCGCCCGAGCACCAGCATAGGGCATAAGGGGGGGTCCAGGCCACCACCCTTGTACAGTCGATACCGACCGTGGCCCGGAGGAGGGGGGGGAAGGGGGGGGTTGGCCCAGGTTATGGCCGTTACGCGCTAGAAGAGAAACAACCGATCCCCAAATGCCCCTCCAATGTCGACCGTGTCGCAGAGCGTGCTGCTAAACTCCGGGCCAAGGCTGACAAAGATGCGGCCGATCATCGCGTGGAACTCCTTCCCGCGCGAAGAGATCCGTTGGGCGGCCACGCTGCGGCGACAATCTCTACCATTTGATGACGGCAAACTTCCTTCAAGGCAAGGCAGGTTGAGAGCAAAACAGTGCGCTGGTTGCCTTCGAAAACTTTGGTTCCCCAAATAAGCTCAATTGCGCCCATTGTTTCACATGCCCCGGCCCCTCAATCGTCTCTCTCCCCTCCACCTACTCCCTCCTCTCTCTCCGTACTTCGTCCGCTTTTCCATTGTCCCCCCATCCTTCTTCCCATCCTCCCGCCCTCAATTACACGAGGCAGGGGTGGGCCCAAGCCAGATCGGACACCCGCATGCAGGCACCTGCTTGACGACAATACCAAAACCGCTGGATGTACGGGCCTGATGGATCCGCCCCCCATCCTGGAGGATGGGAGAGTGCGTGACCCAGCGGATGCCGGCTCAGAGCCCATGAGATGGGCAGACCGACCCCCGCCAAAATTGACTCCCAGATCCCCTCCCATTCCCCCCATCCCCTCCACTCCGCTCCCAAGGAATCCCCCCCCATGTCACGGCTGCAGCTCGGACCTCAGGCCTCAGACGAGCTCGCCAAGCCACGCACTTCCCGCCCGCCCCGGGTCCGCGCTCGCGGAGCCCGGGTCAGAAAAGATATTCACGTGTGAGGCAAGTCAGGCGCTCGCTGGAGGGCACCGGCAACGCTGTACTCAAATCGGAACGTCCCATGGGGGGACAGGAGCACGCACGTCACGGGGGAAACCAACTAATCACCTTTCATCGGCCAGTGGAGTTGATCTGCATCAAACGCTGTCAAACAACAGGACTTCTTCCTCGCCGATCGGTCGCACAGCTGGCTGACATTGCGCAACCAGTTACAATCGCGGATCGCCAGCATGTCCTAATAATACAGCCACGACTGCAACGTGCCAGCGAGCAATGAGATCGGCCAAGCTTGCACCCTGCTGTCGACAGAAGGAATCAAATCGATGGCAGTGGTGGCGCTCACGGACTCCCAATAATCCGAAAGCCCTTATAACGGCGACGAGGCGACGATCGAAAGCAGTGCCCCGGCACTGCTTTGAACGCGTTCAAAGCAGTGCCCCGGCACTGCTTTGAACGTATGATATGATGATATGATGATGATTATGATTGATGATGATGATGATTTTTCCAGCGTACACTGTCCGCAACTGCGGCAATCAACATCATGCTCCACTTGCCCGCAACTGCGGCCATCACCAACGCTGCCCCTCGAAGCTCCGCGGAGGGCGCTCGGCAGGTCGCCCGCTCGAGCCCCACTCGACTTCACGCTGAGGAGGCGAGCCCTCAGGGGCATTGTCCGCAACTGCGGCATGATCAGAGGGCCACCACTGCGCGCCATCAGCGCCCCATTCGCTCGAGCTCCAGTCCCACCAGGACCAGCCCTGCCATCTCGTGGCGGGACTGCGCGCCTCCCATGCGCCGCTGCCGCTGGCGTCCCAGGACCCAGCCGCCACTGCGGCACAAGAAGGGGTCGCATCGTCGCCGTTGGCAGCTTGCGGCGGTGGCGTGTTCCCAGCTCGCTCAGCCCCAGCGTCTCTCCCCGCAACTGCGGTTCCCATCTGGGGTCGGACGCCCTTCCCCGCAACTGCGGTGTCCGCGTAGCTGCCCTTCTTGCCGCCCTTCTTGCCGCCCTTCCTGCCGCCCTTCCTGCGTTCCAACCTCGCGGCGAGTCTTTCAGGTGACCTGCGGCACGTATTGTGCGTGAAAGCCACCAGAGGGAAGTGCGCTCCGTGCCTCGCCCTGCCGAAGGCGCCATGCCATATCTTGTCGTCGAGGTTGCCCTGCTTCACTCTGAAGGGATGGCGCACCCAATCGTCGCGTTCCCTGCGCGCCATCCTTTGCTCGAACTCCGCAACTGCGGTCAAGGATTCGCCAGATGGCGTCAGGAAGGCGCGCATCTTGTTTTCAACGGGCTCAGCCTTGGGCACGTAAGTCTGAAGCATCTTCCCAGGGCCATTCGTGTAGTCGAAGACAGGGAAAGACGGATCATGCTGGGTCGTCAAGAATCCGCCCTCACGGTCGTGCAGAACACTCAGGCCATGGTGAAGCTTGTACTGCCCAGGACAGTTTATGAACAAAATCGCCATGCTGTCTGCCCTGGGCTGGCCGCCTGCTGTCTTCCAGGGGGTCCACGCGGCGACGTCCACAGTCAGGCCGCAATTGCGGCACCAGGACACAAGCTGGAACATGCACATGTTGAAGTCCCCCATGCAGACCTTCACGTCCCATTCCCTGACGTAGGCGACGAACCAGTTGTAGAACTCATGGAGCTTCGTGACGCCCCAGTCTTGGTTGGCCAAGCTGTGGTGGACGTGCACCGCCATGACGTTGAAGGAGCCCCCCAAATGGGCACGGCCTGGTCCAGGTGGACGCGCACCACCATCGCCCTGGAGTACTTGTTGTGCAGCTTTGGCGCAGGAGCCTCCGCAACTGCGGACGGTTTCTTCTTCTTCTTCTTCGTTTTGGACTTCTCCTGCTTGTGGAAGAGTCTCGCAAAGTCTACGTGTTCAATGTGGCCGCCACTGCGGTCCCTCATGCCAACAAGGAGGGTCCCTGATGGCTCGCCGCCCTTAACGCACAGGTAGTTGTATTGAGTCCGACTCCGAAACCTATCGTCCGCAACTGCGGCTGCACTGTCCCTCGCGTCGTGCTCCCCACTGAGTACCGCGCAGGTCTCGTCGTCGCACTCGCAGAGGGCGATGATCTGGGCAGGGTTCGCGCGGAGCTGCGCCCACTCGTCCGCGCGTTGCGTGGGTCTAGCTGCAGTCCCTCCGAAGTTGGCCACGTAGAAGCCGACCCGTCCCGCTTCGAACTCCGTTTTCTCCTCCCATGCGTCGACAAGAGCTCTTTGTTTTTCCGACAGATTGCTTGTCTCGATGATGGGCACCCGTTTCCAGGGTCTCCGCGACGACAACACTCTCGGCATGTAGGAGTCATGTGCTGCCGCAACTGCGGCTCCCGCACCTCCCCGGGACTCAGCCTCGTCAGCGGAGGCAGCCGAGGACGCGACGGTGCTGTCGCCATCTTGCGTCCGCTGGTCGTCGTCATCATCCGCAACTGCGGCTTCCTCGTCTTTGCCTCCCTCCTCCTCCTCAGCGTTGTGGATGAACACCGTTCTGGCGAATCGAGGTCCACGGTCCATACTCCCTGAGGATGCGCTCGGGCGCGCGGGCGGCCACATGCTTGCGTCTTCGCGTGCGCCACCTCGAGCCACGGTGGCTACGGAAATGGATCGTGAATGGGCATGGGGTCGGATGGAGGGAGGAGACAAAGAGGATTCGAGGAGTGGCAGAAGGAGGGCGAGGACTCAAAGGAACCGAAAGAACAACAAATGGACTGGCGGAGAAGCAGAAGGAGGGCGACGATTGCAAGGGACTGTGAAAGGATTATTTTCACAGCAGCAGGAAGACCGCAACTGCGGTTTTGCCTCATCTCCTGCCCGCGCGGGAGCCGCTTGGAAAAACAACTTCCCTCTGGACTTCCTGTGGGTCCGCAACTGCGGCCTGCATCACGCTAGGGCTGGGATTACCAGCGCCATTTGCCCTCCCAGGGTTCTCACTGTTTCCGAATGCACGAACTGCGACAGCGCCGAACGGTTCCCAGACGCCGCGTCGTTCGCGACTTTTTGCAGCCACCCAGCAAACGTGAGCGGCCATTGCTCCTTGTGCTGCTTGCACATCTCCTCGTCCCAATGCGTCTTGAACCATGCCCACTCCCCCCTCTGCTCGTCTGAGAGGACGCCTTTTCCGCGAGCCAGGCGATCCAGAGCTGCCATCCTGTTTTTCTTGATCTTGAACTCCTCGGGATTCCACTGCGCTAGGGCGTGTTTGTTAGCCAAAGCCGTTTCCACCGCAACTGCGGCCTCCTTCTTTGCCCTCAAGGCGGCCTCGGCCTCTCGAATCTGCTTCTTGAGATCGTGCAACGCCTTCGTCCTGTCGTTCGCTTCCAGAGCCAGGCGCCGCTTTTTCGCCACCACTGCGGCTTCGTGGTCTCGCTGGGCAGTCAACGCTCGTAGGACCTCGTTGTCCTCCCGCGCCAGCTCTCTCAACCGCTTCTTTTGTTTGTGTCGTTGCTGTCGGCAATCCTGCGCTAGTTTCTCCATGCCCACTTGGCGCAGCATATCTTCCGCCTCGCGGAGCGTTTCTGCCAAGGACGTCGCCACTGCCACCTGCTCGGCCGCCTCTGCGTCGACCACGCAGTCCATGGATACCGAGGATCCTTGAGGCCCAGGTGCCGCAACTGCGGCATCGCACTGTTCCGCAAGAGCCTCGGCCCACGAGGCCTCCTCTTGCTCTTCGTCCTCCTCGTGCTCCTCGTGCACCTCCTCCTCCTCCTCCTCCCCGCCCTCCTCATCGCCCTCCTCGTGGCCTGGCTCCTGGCCTAGCGCTTCGTCGCCGAGCTTCTCCAACACGGAATCTGTGGCGTCGTGTTTCTCGTATTCGTGTATGAGACGCAGCACGTCATTGTAGGACCATTTCAAACGTTTCTGCTCGCATTCTTCCCTCACCTCCGCGACTGCGGTGTCCACTTTTGCTCGCAGCCCCCCTGCTTCCCAGAGTTCCGCCGCCTCTCGGCAAATCTCGAGATCTCCTGACTTGTCGAAGGGCGCTCGAATTCCCACTTTCAGGAAACCTTTCGCGGCGTCCAAGTGCAACTGCACATTCTCCAACACTGACAGCATCAAGTCGGCGCAATCGGAACGCCGCAACTGCGGCACGTGCTTCCCCAACGCCATTTGCTGCACCAGCGCTTTGGTCTCGAGGGCAATGTACCGGCGCTTCACGTGCTGGTTCAAGTCCGTGTCCACGGGCTGCGCAACTGCGGTCGTCCCCCCGCCGTGAATGATCAGCACGTAGCCGCGCTGCCAGGCGAGTCTCCGCACAGCGTCTGCTTTGTGCGGGGAATGGTCGTCGGCCATGAGGATGCGCCACTTTCCCCGCAACTGCGGGTCGTCGGGCCAGGCCCGC